TTTTTTTTTTTTTTTTTTTTTTTTTTTTTTTTCTTTTTTTTTCTTTTTTTTTCTTTTTTTTTCTTTTTTTTTCTTTTTTTTTCTTTTCATTCTTATTTGTATCTTTTTTTCTTTGAGCCGGAGGGGAAGTAGCGCTGCAGTGATGCGTTGCTTTGCCGTGTGAGTGCTGTGATGTCCCAGGTCGCTCATGTTGCTGCAGGTGTTTGCATTTAGCTGTGAAGTTCAAATTTTCCAAAGCCATAGTGCTCCTTGGTAATGGTGGAGGAGGCTGTAGTGAGGTGGGGTTGGTCTTTTCCCCAAAATAACTATCGATAGGACAAGAGGAGGTGGCCTTGAGTTGTGTTAGGGGAGGTTCAGGTTGAATATTTGGAAAAAATTATCCATGGGAAGAGTGGTGAAGTGTTGGAACAGGCTGCCCAGGGAAGTGGTGGAGTCATCATCCCTGGCAGTGCTGAAGAAATGTGTAGATGAGGCGCTTAGGGATGTGTTTTAGCAGACTTAGTGGTGATGGGTTTACAGTTGGACTCGATGATCTTGAAGGTCTTTCCCAACCATAATGATTCTATGGTTCTGTGATTTATTTCTGATTTTTTTTTCCATAGTCTGGGTTACTTTGGTCCCTCTGATTCCAGATAATGGATTTGGACCCTGCCTGTCTTGAAGTCGCGGCTTTGCTGCCGCAGGATGTTTGCAAGGTTATGCCTCAATAGTGAGGAATGGAAGGTGTGAGTGATCTGGTGCTCTGGCATCTCTGCCAGGCGCAGGTCGCGCAGGTCGGGCCAAACCAGCATTAGGCTGGTCTTGGGCTAAGGTTGGAGCAGGGTAGTTATTCCCTGGGAATGTGTCTGGGCACGTGCTGTCATTCCAAAGAAATTTTGCTCCAAGACCAACGTGTGCCAGGTAGGATCAGTCAGGAAACCTGTTTCAAAACAGTCCTCATCCAAGCCAGAGGAGTAATGTTGGTGCTAAGCTGAAGTCAAGCTCTCCCTGAAATGCATGTAGTATCCACCTTTGCTCTGTATATCCAACTTTTGCTCCATTCTGCTTAACACGGACGCAATCTCAGGTTTTACTGACTATAAATAGATGTAGTACTGTATAGTGATACATTAGAATGAACAGAAAACAATGTGATAAATCTTGGCATGAGCCAGGCTGTAAATGACCTTAAAAGATCTTGAAGAAGAAAATACATATATTTGAGTCGCAGCACGTAAGAGTTTCTCACACAGATTTCCAAATTTCTGGTAACTCTACAGTTTGCAGATCTAACAGATGGAGACCACATAAGTAATTTATTTCTTACAAGCTACACACAGTAAACTTTCTGAAAATGTTATTTTGTTAATATTTTAAGTATTTTAAAGTAGTTTTTTATAATAACATTTTAGTCCTTTATATAAAAAAAATTATAAGAAAAATTCTCAAACGCTTGTTTGTTATTGTGTTGTTATTCTTTACCTATATTAATTGTTGGAAAGGGCAGTCAGTCAAGTTGCTGAACAACGTTTCTATGTAGAGATCGAATCTCCTCGAGACTTCTTGTTGTAGCTGTAAATTTTTATTTGTCATTTTATTAACTGAAACAAGGAACTGCCTTCCTTGATAAATCATTTTTCTAGGCACACTTTGCTGAAGCACAGTTTGTCCTAGACAAATGGAAATTTTCAGCAGCTGCAGTTTTTGAAATAGCTGATAGCAGGAAATGTTATTTATAACTCACTGTAACAGCTCCTCTTTAATGCTTGATAATCTGCTGTGACTTTACAATGAGTGCAGCAACATGTGGTCTCCTGCTCTCCTACAGTAACCTGCAGAATACTTTCCAGATGAAAGATACTTTAATCACTTGGTTGCCTGTAACTTTCCTGGAGGAGGATAAAAGCATTTCTCCATGTTCTTGCTGGCTTTGTAAATTTAATGTGGTGTTTTTCCAGCCCCCTTTTTTTTTTAAGGAATAGCAAGCAAGTAAAGTTGGTTTTTCTCAATACCTTCTATTGTACTGGGAGGAACAGCAGAGATGGTGTTGGAGAATAAAGCATTCTTAAATCCCTCAAATTTGGGGAAAAACAAACAAACAAACAAAGAAAAAAAAAAGAGAAGAAAATCACGGGATAGAGGAACATGAGTAACTTCCAACTCCTCGCAGAAGGTGGCAGCACTTAGAAGTACTAAGTACTGACTGCATTGCGAGGGTGTTGGCAAAACGTCAACTGCTCCGCTGAAAGAGCATGAACTTCTCGACACTGGCTCGGAATTCGCAGTGAGGGTA